TGTGTGTGTGTGTGTGTGTGTGTGTGTGTGTGTGTGTGTGTGTGTGTGTGTGATGGACCCCTTTGGAAGTCTGGTGAAGTATATGGATCCCTTCTGAGAATAATGTTTTTAAATGCATATTATAAAACACATAGTGTTACAAAGGAAATTAATTACATTGAACTATAGTTATCAAAAATACTTTGTTAAAAAAGTTCATGGACCCCAGGTTAAAAATCCCTGGTGGAGAAGGACTAAATGTCAGGCTAAAGAGTTTGTATTTTATATTGTAAGCAATAAACACCCACTGAAGCTCTTTTAGCAGGAGAGTGGCATGATCGGATCCCTATATTAGGAAGATTACTTTGGCAAGAATGTGTAAGGTGAATCAGGGAAGGGAAAGACTGGAAAGGAAACTAGGCAGGAGATAATTCTTTTTCAGGAAGTAGTTTCAGTGAGAATGGAAAAGTGATGCATTTGAAAGACACTGGAGGCAGAATCCTCATGCCTGACAGCTGATTGAATATGGGAGGTGAGAGAAGAAGAATCAAAGGTGACAGTGTGGGAGATTGGCTAGTTAGGAGGTGGAACAGTGAGACTGCAGACTACTCTTTCCAAAAGTTTGGCAGTGAAAGGAAAGAGAATGATAGCTAGAGAAGGTAGCAGAGTCCAGGGAAAAGCTGAGGGGGAGTGGAAGGCATGGTTGGACTGAGTAGCAGTTTCGTAGAATGAAGGGAAGGAATTAGTAGAGATAGGAACTACTGGATTAAAGATGAGAGATACCCCAACATTTACACAGATTAAATCAGGTTACAATCATAATCAAAGATGGGGGATGGAGGGTTGGCTATAAGAGTGGACTGCTTACTACCTGGCAGCAGGAGGAAATATTTACACTCCAACCAGCTTTCTTTATTAATTGTATTTTATTATATTGATGCTGCTTTCTTCCAAACAACAAGGCCAGCTTCAGTTTAAGCAGAGTTGACTATGTGTGTGATCTCAGAGACAGAAGGTTATATGTTCCGTAGATTACATTCTCCATCCACTGACAGATGCCTGAAATGCCCATTAAAATTCATTTCTTTAGCTCAAGGTTTTGATCCCAGTTCAAAGAAAGGTATATCACAAATGCTTGCTAAATGACTGGAAAACTAACACTTTGAAGCTGTTCTCAATCATATCTTAGTATGAGAATGAGTTTTTTAGATCCTCCCCTCAGTCAGTCAACAAGTGTCAGGCTTGGTGCAAAGTGCTGGGAATACAAATACAAGCAGAAAGATTGTCCTTGCCTTCTAGGAGTTCACATTCCAATGAGGGACGACAACACGTAAAGGGAAGCTGAAAAAGGTGGTGTGGGAAGGAAATGGAAGAAGGTACTCAGTGTTGAGATAAGATAGAGGAGTCTAGATTGCAGCTTGTTGAGAAAAAAAGAGATGGCTGGCTTAGGGTTCCCCTTTAAATGGAAGTTCTTGGAGGAGCCGTCCTGAGTGTACCTCTAAGGTTTCAATTCTAGGGCTGAAGGGATCTTCCAAAATGAGGAGTTTTGGAGGGCATGACAGAAGGATCTGGATTGCAGAACAGGTTTTAATATGGAGGTACTGAAGGTGGCAGTAAGGAATGACAGAGACAGAAAAGGGACATCAACTCCACTTACATCCCAAACTGCAGCCTGAACTTCCCTGGCTCCCAGTTTTCTTGGCCCTGTTCTTAGCAGAGGAGTGACATGCCCCAGGGGGTTCATTTAAGGCTTTCAGGAGAAGTTCTTGGTGTTATCTGTGTAAAATAATGAATGATTCTGCTGGCAGGACAACCAGTACTTGTTTTTGCCCTTGTAAAAAAAAGCCCAAGCCTAGTGCTCTACAAAGGAATGGGAAGTGTGGGATGTCATGGGGGCAGCTAGAAAAGAGCTGGAATGTCTTCTCACGCTTCCAGGGGTCAGTCACCAGGCACAGAGATGCCATTGAGCTGGCTTCACAGAGATGCTGGGAATGCTTTTCAAGGAAACACTGGGCTGCCCTGAAAGCAAACCAAGCTAGCGCTGACTCACTTATCTATACTGTATAGAGAATGCCAGGGTAAAAAGAATTTAAAGTTCACCCACCAGCCCCATTTCAGACCCCTAGTTTTACTGCTATCCTTCTCATCTCCATTTATCCAAAGCAGCTAATGGGGAAGAAATTACAAGATACAATTAGGCATTTTTCTTCTCTCATCCTTCTCTTTTATAGAAGTGAGAATCAGTGGATAAATTGGCATAAAGCAGAAGCAAAAAAGACAAGGAGAAGAATCAATGAGCTCCTGTATGCAATGAACAAACTGAGCATGATTTTTTTTTCACCCAAGAATTAAGTTGATGATATATGTGGTAGTTATTTCCCAGGGTTATTGTGAGAATCAAATGAAATCATTTGAAATGCACAGTGCTTTGTAAACCTTAAAGTGCTATATCTAAATGTCAGCCATTCTTATCACCATCAGCATAATTATTAATCTGTCAGAAGAAACATCACAGAGTATTAGAACTGAAAAGGACCTCAGAGGCCATTTTATAGGTGAGGAAACTGAAGTCCAAAAGTGTCTTGCTCAAAGTCACATATACACATGTGTGGATATATTTGCCACATATGTATCCCTAAACAAACTGTACATGCTGGGAAACAATCCTTTGAGCTCAAGAAGAGTAGAAAGATTCTAAGAGCTGTTGTGGACAAGTTTTTTTTTTAAAGTGAATAACAAAGCTAAATGAGCCTAAAACATATTAACATTAATTTGCTAATTCATTCATGGATTGATTCATTGATTCAACAGAGGGTAGCATGCTAAAGTAACATTCCCTTGCCATTATTTGGGTCTTTCTTGCTATACTCTTATCAGTTTTTGGCTCTATCTTTTAAAATGAGCATGGAGAACTTTGAGAAGAACAACAAAAATTAAGGATTTTAAAACAGAATCTATGAAGACAGGTTAAAAGTGTCAGGACTACTTCATCTATAAAGAAAAAAGCCTAAGTCCTTTGGTTACTAACAGCTCTGAAACTCCATAGCTGTGTGACTCTGAGCGAGTTACTTCTCTGGGCTTTAACTATATCATCTACAAAATAAGGGTGACAAAGACTAGAGCCGTAGTGTCAAATTCAAATAGAAATGGAGGTCACTAAATGGTCCATAAAGATCCCTGCAGGCCACTTAATGACTAAGAAAAGCACAAATTAACACTGTCTCTGTTTTATTGTATTTTTTTATTTTGTTAAATATTTCCCAATTACATTTTAATCTGGTTCAGGCTACACTGAGGAGTGTTCTGGGCTACACATGGCTGAGGCAGAAGGTTTGTCACCTCTGGACTAAAGTATCTCTAGCATTCCTTCCAATTCTAACATTTTATAGTTCTATGAATCTATCACATCTCATAGAAGCTTTAAAAGTTGGAAGGGATTTCAACATGAAATGTGATTAGTAGTCACTCATACTCTGCTTTTAGAAATCCCCAAAAGAAACCCACTACTTCCTGAGCACATTTCACTTTTGGACAATTTCCTAATTGTTAGGAAATCATTCCTTATATCAAATATAAATTTTGCCTTTTTTTTTTTGCAGCTTTCACACATTGCTCCTTGCTATGCCATCTAGAGACAAACAGACCAAGTCTAATCACTCTTCCTTTAAATACTTAAAAACTGTCCTCATGCCCCTTCCCAAGTCTTCTCAGTTGGTAATCTGTTTTGATTAGGACAGGAACAAAAGAAAATGGATCTAAATTACTGTAGGAGAAATAGAATTTAGAGATAAGAAGAACTTTCTGAAGGAGACCTATCATTCGCGTGATGCAAATCTGTCAGAAGGTAAGGGGGCTGGATTATAAACAACCTCTAGAAATGACTCTACTCTGAAACCGTCAATAAGTCAAATAGTATTTGTTAAGTGCTTGCTCCATGCCAGGCACTGTACTAAGCACTGGAATTGTTACTTTGACTGAATGAAAACTTACCTCTACAAGCATATATAGAGAGAGTAGTGTGATTCCAAGATTATAGAAAATGAGGATACCCCTGAGAGAAAGTGCAGGCCTGTTCTTCATATACTTGTTACCCAACCATATGGAAAGTAGATATATTACAGTAAGGAAAAAAGTAGGAAGGTAGGAGTCCAACATGAGCCATCCTCTGACCCGAGCATCTGAAAAGAAACACACACACACACAGATTATTGAGTAAGAAAGCTAAGTAGGACTTACTGAATTTGATGCTTTCTATTCTAAAGTATGCAAAATTTCAGTTGGGAGAATACTTAGGTCAAAGATATAGGAAATAAAGTAAATGATCTTTACATTCCAGTTTAAATGTCTCAAACATTCCAGTTTAAGTGTCCTGAAATTCTTCAAAATAAGAAACAAGTTAATGCCCACCCCATGCTTATATTGTATATAATAATAATTCCTATCTATATGGTACTTTAGTTTTACAAATTTCTTTAGTCTTGAAACAACTGTACAATAGAAGGTAGTGTAAGTCATACTATTCCCATTTTAGAAACAAGGAAATTGAGGCTCTAAGAGGTTAGCGACTTCCCCATGGAGCCAGTATTCAAACTTAGCTCTCTGGATTCCAAGTCTTTTGCTCTTACCTCTCTAGACTAATCAGGAAAAAATGTTTTTATAGTCAAAAGTCAATATGTGCTAAGTACTGAAAGCTGATGACAGTAGAGGAGAGCTGAATATTTAGTTTTTGATGAAAAGGATGCAGGGTGATTAATCTCATAAATCATCCTGTCTCTCAAAAGGAGTATCATTTAATATGGCACAGCTGTATTGAAAGCTTTCTTGCCTAATATTTAAATAATAGGACCACAATTGGTAGGAGAGAAAGCAAACTTCCTGCAAGTTGAAACTTTGTTTTTATGAAAAAAAGTTGCAGTTATTCATGTGCATAAAACATTCTAAATGAATAAGAACACAAAAGGAGTAAAAAATCCATATTTTAAGGAGACATACAGAAATAACTGATGATATATATCCTTTTAAAAAAGATATTATGTGCCAAGTATTATTTTTTTTCCCTACAATCATTTGTTATGCTTCTTCTGTATTCATTCAATAAACATTCAGTAAGTACCACTGTGTTAAGTGCAGAGATAATGCACCTAGTCCCTGACTTCATGATGCTTACAGGCTAGCGGGGAAATAAGATACAAACATATAACTCTAACATAACATTTTACATCATAAGAAGGCTTATGAAAGCATTGTGTGTGTGTGTGTGTGTGTTTAGGACCAGAAGTCAGTTTCTCTGGGGAATAGAATGCATGAAGGGTAGTAATATGAACTAGACTAGAAAGGTAGTGTGGAATCAGAATGTGAAAACCCTTGGATGGCAGACCAAGGAGTTTGAATTTCATTTGGGACACAGTAGGGAGCCATTGAAGGTTTTTGAGCAAAGGTCTTTCATTATCAGACATATGTAGAAGAAAAATGATGTCTGCAGCAGTTTGCATGATGGCTGAGAGTGAAGAAAAAATTGGGAAACGGCTCTTATTCATTCTTGTAAATTTGAATCAATTCTTTACATCCTTTGGAAATGAGACCTTTATCAGAGAAATTTGATGTAAAAAAAATTTCCCAGTTTCCTTTTTAACTTAGCATTATTGGACTTGTTTGTGCAAAACTTTAATTTTATGTAATTAAAATTAGTCATTTTATCTTCTGTGATTCTCTCTATCCCTTGTTTGGCCATGAACATTTATTCAATCCGTACATCTGACAGATACTTTTTCCCCACCTTTATCTAGTTTGTTTATGATATGACCTTTCATATCAAGTTCATATTACTATTTGAAGCTTATCTTGGTATAATGTGTGAAGTATTGGTCTAAATCTAAATTCTTTCATGTTGCTGTCCAATTTTTCCAGCAGTTTTTATCAAATAGTGAGTCCTTATACCAGCAGCTGATTCAAATTTATAAGAATACGAGCAATTCCTCAACTGATAAATAGTTTAAGGATATAAATAGATAGTTCTCAAAAAGGGAAACCCAAGTTAATCACTAATATGGTTAATCACCAAATCACTAAGAAAAGAAAATTAAAGAGATTAATGTGTTCTACCTCATATTTATCTGCTTGGCAAAGAAGACAAAGAAGAAAAATGATGAATGTTGGAAGGACTGGGGGAAAATAGACACATTGATGCACTACCGATGGGCCTATGAATGTGTATGAAGAGCAATTTGGAGTTATTCACAAAAAAGTTACTAAATAGTATTTGCCCTCTGACTTAGCTATACCATTTCCAGGCTTTTACCCAAAAGTGATTTTTTGGGGGGGGGGGGCTAGGCAATGAGGTTAAGTGACTTGCCCAGGGTCACACAGCTAGTGAGTATTACGTGTCTGAGGTCAGATTTGGACTCAGGTCCTCCTGACTCCAGGGCCAGTGCTCTATCCACTGTACTACCTAGTTGCCCCTCAAAATGATTTTTTTTTAAAGAGGAAAAGATCATATATATATATATATATATATATACACATACACACATATGTATATAACGTGTGTATATGTTTATATGTGTGTATACATACATGTGTGTGTGTATATATATATACATATGTGTGTGTGTGTGTAAAGATATATATATATATATATATATTTGCCACAACTTTTTTTGTAGTGGCAAAAAACTGGATACTAAAGAGATGCCCATCAATTGGCAAATATCTCAACATATTGTGGTATATTAATGTGATAGAACACTGTTTTGCTGTAAGAATTGAGGAAATAGATGATTTCAGAGACATGGAAAGTATGAACTGATGGAGAGTGCGGTAAGCAGAACCAGAAGAACAATTTACAGTATAACATAAACGTTACAAGACAAATTATTTTGAAGACTTTTTATAAACTGATGAAGAATGAAATGAGCAGAACCAAAAGAACGATTTACACATTAACAACAACATTGTAAAGACAAACAACTTTGAAAGCTGTAAGAACCATGGTCAATACAATGACCGACAATCCATGATCCCAAAGGACTTGATGATGAAACGTGCTGTCTCCTGACAGAGAAGTAATGGATTTAGTGGACAGAATGAGATATATAGGGCAGCTAGGTGGCACAGCAGATAGAGCATCAGGCTTGGAGTCAAGAAGACCTGAGTTCAAACTCGGCTTCAATTTCCTCATCTGTAAAACGAGCTGGAGAAGGAAATGGCAAACCACTCTGATTGGTTGTTTGTTTGGTGTCTTTCATTCTTGAAGAGGACCAAAATTACATCACTATGTTGGAGTCAAGGTACAGTGTGTCTAACTATGGATGATCAAACCAATAAGAGCTCAAAAGTCTCTACCACAGGTTGGGCACAAATGGTCCGTGTGAACATTTGGAGTGGAGATGTCTCTAAATTTTTGCATTTCATGGTTCTTTTGAACTACTGCAATTCTGCTTTGCTTATGGAGCACAGTGCCTTCTTTGATGCCAACATACCATGCTGGTCAGTCCTTTGCCAGCATGTCCCATGTCACACAATTGGTTCCAAAGTTCTTCAGAGAGACCTTGAGAGTGTCCTTGTATCACTTCTTCTGATCTTTGTGTGAACATTTGTCTTGTGTGAGTTCTCCATGAAATAGTCTTTTAGGCAAATATACATTTGGCATTTAAACAACATGGCCAGTCAATCAGAGTTGTGCTCTCAGCTTTAGAGTTTGAATGCTTGGAAGTTTAGCTTGAGACGGGACCTCAGAGTCCAGTACTTTATCTTACCAGATGATCTTCAGAATCTTCCTAAGACAATTTCCTGGCATGCTACTGGTCCAGGTTTCACAGGCATACACCAATGAGGTCAACACAATGGCTCTGTAAACCTTCAATTTGGTAGTCTGGCTAATACCTCTTCTCTATGACATTTTCCTTCGGAGACTCCCAAACACTGAGCTAGGTCTGACAATGTGTGCATCAACCTTATCATCTATACACATATCCCTGAAAAGTATACTACCAAGGTAAATGAACTTATCCAAAACATTCAAAATTTCTCCATTTGCTGTAACTGATGATTGCATGTATAAATGACGTGGTGCTGGCTGGTGGAAAACCTGTGCTTTCTTGGTATTAATTATTAGGCCAAAATTAGCACAAGCAGCAGAGAATGATCCATACTTTGTTATATCTCAGCCTCAGAGGCTGCATTGAGTGCACAATCATCTAAGAACAAAAAATCATGCACCAACTGTCTCTCCACTTTAGTCTTAGCTTTTAGTCTTTTGCAGTAGCTGACCTTGATGCCATTTTAACCCCACATGGGGTCATGAAGAGTCAGACACAACTGAATGACAACATGAAGCATATATTTTTACAATGTAGTCAATGAGGGAATTTGTTTTACTTGACTATGCATATTTATCACAAGGAATTTATTTTTCTTTTTGTTTCTGAGTGGAGTAGGGGGAGGAGAAAATAGATTTTTGTTAATTAAGTTTTTTTTTTTTAAAGAATGGGGGTAGGAAGACTTGTTAGGAGGTTATTACAATAATAGAGAAGGATTTAATAAAGAGTTATATTAGGGTAGTAGCAATGAAAATTCTATTTTCATAAATGAAGAGATGCAAGATATGTTTTAATGAAACTGACAGGAGTTGGCAACCGGTTATATAAGTGAGGTGGGGAGAAATAAGAGTCAAAGATAACCCCATGGTTTTGAACAGGGAAGAGTCAATTGTGCCATACATAGTAAGAGTTATATCATAAGGAACTAGTTTTTGGGGAAATATAATGAATTTCATTTTAGACACTGAGTTTGAAGTGGCTATCGGGGATCCTGAAAGTAACTGGAAATTTGAGTCTATTAGCTCAGAGTAGAGATTAGGCATGGAGATAGTGATTTGTGAGGTTATCCGTGTAGAAATGGCATTTGAGGCTGTTTCACGAATAAAACTGCCAAAGGACAGAATGTTTAGAGAGAAAAGAAAAGGGTCAAAGATGGTCCCTCAAGGAATATATTAAATGAGGAGTTGGGATGAGGATGTCATATCAGCAAGGAGGCAGAAAAGGAGTGGTTAGAGAGAGGAGTAAAACCAAGATAGTGAAGGATATCTAAGCTGGAGCCAGAGAAAGGATCCACTAGGAGAGAGTGGTCAATTGTGTTGAATAGGCACCAAAAGAGGCCACTGAATTTGGCAATTATGAGT